TGTACTCGGGCCCAGTGAGAGTACAAACTCTGGAAATTTGCATACGGTGAGTACAAACTCCCCCGAGTCCGAATCTGGAATTGGTTTTTCATTTTTCCGACCGGGGGGGGGGGCCAGTGACATTTACCTAGAGGTCGATCCATTTTCTAAGTTGTTGAACCGTTCTCCACTTAGTTAGGTGATTTAAAATCGTCTGAAACAAGTGATAGTCAGAAGGCGAAATGTCTGGAGAATACAACAGGGGCATAGTGGGTATTCATATACAACTGAGGCAAACCAAGCGGCTGTGTGTACAACACATACGTGTCGAAATATTCGTAAGTATGAAGAGATAGCGATCAGAAATCATTCGATCTTCAAACAAAATTATCTTGGGGAATTTGTTTTGGGAGATTTCATTCGAAATAAATTCATAGACTTACATAATAGCAACGGGAAATGTGTCACAAATAATGGGCACATGATTATTTCCTACATTATTATTGACTAGCATTGCTTGGAAACAGGGTTTGATTCATTTGCCTCTTGGAGTATATTGATAAATAATCCAGTTTGTTGGCATTGTTGAACATTCAAATAGATGGCTTCAATTAAGCAGAACATGAAGCAATAAAAATCGATGCGTCACAATATAATCATTATTTAGGCCCACAGCGTTGCACTGAATTATACGAGGTATACGTGTGGACCAAACTATTTTATCATTAGTCGTGTTTTTCAATCCGACCTGTGTAGTGCATCTCATACAGTTAGCTCTTCGATTCGAATGAAAAATATTGTGAATTTCAATTGAATGACTTAAATAATAGGTTTGCCATTCAAGTTGCAATTTTTTATGAGTTGTCTTCATTAAAACAGTTATTATTAATAAAAACTCATCAGCTCCCCCAAGAATCTGGACCATAGTGATTTTCATGATTTTTTTGATTTAAATCCAAAGCTCAGTTGGCCCATTTGTAAGACTAATAGCTATTTTCACGATACAGTGGAACCTCGATTATCCGGCAAGCACCGGACCGAGACCTCGCCGGATAACCAAAAACGCCGGATAATCGAGTTGGAACAAATTCGTACATTTCTCATACATTTATTTAACCGTTTGTCTGTAATAAGTCGAAAGTTACAAATGCTGTAATGTGGGGTCATATGGTCCCCAACAAAAAATCGATAAAAATGGAACAAAAATAATTTTTTTCTCAAAAATATCGTTTTGATCCAATAATTTAAGGCATTTTTCATCTTTTAAGCCTATTTTTGTCAATATTGACCTAAAAATTACTTAGATATGATGATTTTAAAAACATCGTACTAGTCCGCCATCTTGAATCATTTGGCAGATACACATTTTTGACGTTATTTTGCTTCATTTTCAAAAAATCTATGAATATTTGTGAAAAAAAGTTTGTTTTTTGAAAGGGCGTATCAAAAGGAATAAAATAAGTATAATATCGAGTTGATGTGAGCTATACATGGAAAAATATGGACCAATAAGATGTAATAATTCGATAAAAACTGGAATTTCATCAATTTGGGTGCCATTTGGAAGTGATCAAAACAATGAAACTACTTGTCGTATCTGAACAAAATATGGCTCAAAATGAAGATAAAACTTCAAATTTTAAAAATATTCTTGATTTAATGATAATTTTTATGAGATAAAATAAGATTTTAGCAATAATATGGGTACTTTAATTTGGGGTCCATATGACCCCATCTCACAGCATTTGTAAGTCTTCTCTTCAAGTCAGAATATCTCGGGTTTTTATGGACCGATTTTGACAAATAGGTGCTCAAAATGCGTGTTTCACTTTTCATTACTAGATTGAAGATATCAATAAATTATAACATCATACAACTTGAAATAAAAAAGTTATAGCGAATTTAGAGTATCTGGGGTCATATAGACCCCACATTACACACAAACGGTTAATAGACAAAAGTCAATTGAAAAGGGTCTACAAAGGGCAGTTGCAGTTGCAGTTGCAGTTGCACCTTTTTTAAAAATTCATTTGTTATTTCCACTTTTGTTTCAATTGAGACAACGTTTCTCTTGCGTTTTTGTGTACTAGATGTAGATTGTTGAGGCTCCATTTTAATGGTACACACAGAAATTTGTATGCAAGAAAATTGGATAGAAGAGCCACTTGTTACAAGAATAGAACTAACGACAAAATAAGCAGACATGTGTCGCGAGCAAAGAAATCAAAGTGACGCCTAAACATTTTATTGAAAAGTGTGCGAGTGATGTAAATAAACTCAATCTGAAATTGAAATGAGACTGAAAAATGATAACAAGCAAAATTGAACTCCAGTTAGTTCTCTCCATATTCAATTTTGCTTTCTACAAAATGTATTCGATAAAAAAAAACTAATTTCCTGAGAGTGCGCCGGTTAATTGAGTGCCGGATAATCGAGGTTCCACTATATGTTGGAAAATTTTGTTCAAGAATGATAAGAATTTTGAGTTTGGATTTCAGAGTGTCAACTCTTCGACAAACAAATCGTTTAATACGAAATTAAAGATGCATCAATTATCAGTTGCATAAATTTCATATTTGGGTAATGTCATACTCGTGTAATGTTTTATATCTCACGCAACACGCCTTTCAACTCTATCCCGACGAGAAATTTGCGGTAAAATAGGTGTACGTCGACTATCCGTCGCATATCCGTTTTTGAGTGCGGATACTCGCAATGCGAATAGGTATCCACAATAAAAGTTGCCGCAAAATGTTATCGCTGAATACCCTGCGACTATTCGCGCTGCGATAAATGTGAAGTTGTAACTGGATCGAGTGTGACATTTCGACTTGAAACTTCGTACAACCAACGTGAAGTTGGCTGCGTTCGACGGACTTTTTCGTATTGCGACTATACGTAGAATAGTCGCAATGCGATATTCCGCAAATTTCTCGTCGGGTATCTATTATTAGACTAAATCAACTTATCATCAATTAGGTTATGATTTGATATTTTGTACGGTGATTTTCC